TGAGAAAGTATAATACATACTCCAAGTATTGAAATACACGCCATCGTGTTGGGATTCAATATTTCGACATTAATTATGTCATCATACGCCTTATTTCAAATTGTGTGTTACGGTTGGTAGCAAATACGCCTATTTCATTTAAATAATGTTATTTAATTTGTTTATCAGAAAATTAGGTTAATTTATGTTTTATAAAGTATGCGTAGGCCTATTATATATATAGGCTTAGCCCAACTAGCATTCAATTAAATACATTAGAAACACTGTTTTGGCTCGACGTTGTAATAATTATGTACGATAGTGTATTTTTCAGGCCTATCAGTTCATCGATCTATGGAAGAAAGAATCAAACTACTCAATAGTGTTGGAATATAGAATACATGCCAAGTTGGAGATAGCTAGAGGCTTGAGATTTAATAGGAAGTAACTCAATTGACGTGAGTCGAGGGCCCGTCCAAGGGCCCCGAAAAATTTTGGGCTTAGATGCTCTCGGTATTCTGAATATCTCTAGTGCTGAAATTAAACCTTAAAAATGAGTAGCTATAACAGGAACGATAGAATAATCTCACTACAATAATTATAATTACAATAATAATAATAATAATAATAATAATAATAATAATAATAATAATTATAATAATAATAATAGTAATAATAATTAATAATAATAATTTAATATTGGTTGCCTTTTTGCCCTTTAAACCTGTTTCATTTTGCTGTTATTGTGATTTGTATCTATTTGTTGAAAAATGTTTTAAATGTTGATTGTTTAGATTTTTCTGCTTGGACCCTTTACTTTTATAAAATTCAACCCATTTTGAGTGATGAATAAAGAATGATTTGATTTTATTTGAATCGGAGACCTAGAGATCCTCACGTTTTAGCGCGCACAGAGGCTACCACCAGTTTAGCCAACTGAGCTAAGCTGCTCTGCTACCTGGTTATAAATCTATAAGGTACCATTCCAATATTTAATAATAGGCTCTATTACAGTAACACTATTAAAATTCAGAGACGGACAAAAATTTACTTTCGCCATAATATATTGTACAGCAAGCCTACAACTTCTGGATCACTTTTTCTTCAGGTCATTTAATAGGCTTGAAAATATCAATATAAAGACGTTTGAGTAACAAAATTCATTGATTGTTTTTAATAAAGTGTTACTTTAATACCAAAAAATATGTTGCTCTGAAACATGATAAGGCCAATCTGAATAAAATGACCCGATCGTGCTTTAAGGTCCAATTGATGATGTTGCAGGCGTTTATCATCCGAATATCTGAATTATTAGTAGGCCTTTAATGTATACATTATTTTAATCGATTTCAACATGCTGTGTATAATATTTAATAATAGGCCTACTATGATGGATAACTATGTATTTTATTCTTTATTCACTGACATGTTTAAAGTCGGAGGCGGACTTTAAGGTGGGTAGTTATGCAGCCGTCCGGGGCTCATACATTTTTTTTTTAAATTAAAAGAAAATATTTTGTCAAAAGTGGTTGTATTATTAGATTGCTCGGTAGTAGTAAGTAGGGGCCCATCGCCTTTCAGGGACTCATTTGGACATGAAGGAAGTAAGCTTTTCCCTAGAAAGCACACAGGCATTACATAACTGGTCAAACCTCCATAGTGGGGCATCCAGTGGCATAGTTTAAAGAACCCCTTCTAATAAATCTGCCAAATATTGTGTTTGTGGGATTTTGGTCTATTTGGTTTTTTCGGAAATTATAGAAAACGTTACGTATTGTTAAGGCGTTGTAGGAGAGTGCTGAGTATCAGTATTACTGTAAGTAAAAGTATCCAACCCTCTCCAGGGCCCATTTGGACTCGGACTTTGCCCAGAAAGCACATGCGTTACTTAAGGCTTGGTAGTAATGTGTTAGGTAGTAGTAGGAGTGCACCCCCACCCCTGCGCCATCCGAGGGCTCACGAGTTACGCAAATGGGTCCTGTTTATTTTAATATGATATGCCATAATTGGACTTTATGGGACAATACATGAAACACTACACCGTTTCTGATATATAAACTGAAATATATTATTCAGCATCGGAAGAGCTTTCCAACGATATCAAACACGATTA